GCTGGGGTTAAGGGCGTTGCTCAGGGGCACAACGGAGTAGGATTCCTCTGCCGGCTGCGGGATTTGAACCGGCAACCTTCCAGCCACAGACGCAGATCCTGAGCCACAGAGCCACAGCACCTCCCCTTTAACTTGGTTCCTGCATTCTCACCTCTGCACTGCCATCCGAAACAGACAGTGTTACTCTCTGTAACACAGTTTGTTCTCAGTGTTTTTTTTTTCACCCTAGGACATACAGGTAATGCTGCACTGTCTTCAGAGTGACTCATGGGCTACAGGCTCTACAAATTTAATCAATTTATGACATTCCCATAGTGGCACAAACCGCATGTAGTTGATGGACTTACTTTTTTCTCTTAATAGAGTGCAGCTGTTATATGGCAGTTGAAGCCATTCTTTTATTCGGTGTGCATCATTTTATAACTAACACCTGCCCTGCTAGCCATGTTAAATTCCGAAATGCGCTGAATTTCTATAGAGTACAGAATAGGTGTGCTAATATTATACAGCTCTCAACCTGGACAAGTGTGTTGGCATTATTACCAGCTTGAGCTAGGGCATTATTCATGAAATATACATGAGTTCAAAATAACATTTTGGAGAAGCCAGTATATTCAAATACAAAATGTTTTTTTAATCATTTTTAATGTAGAATGAATGGCTTCCTGGTTCTTTCTGCTTATATTGAACAGCTCATACTTTGATGTATAAGTCAAAGGATGCATTCAAAATTTGAATCATGGTCTGAAAATTTGTTTCGACTGTTCAAAGTCCTCAAAAAAAAAAAAGTATCGACAGTGTCAGCACAAAGGGCTTCTTCAGGATCACCAGTGAAATACAACCCACAGGACAAGATTGGAGACTAAGGGGAAGGGCATTTAACACTACGAGCAGGAGAGTTTGTGAGATTCTGGAAAGAGCTGCCCTGCCTCACTGATGAAGGGCAGTAGCCCGGCTTCTTCCAAGGAACGGATGCTTCGACTCACGCTGCCCCCACCCGCAAGAAATGATGATGAAATGATTATATTTTATAGTTTCTAAGCTATAAAACTAGAATTCACAAAGGCAATAGTTAGCACTTCACGCCGGTGACCGCAACAGATGGCTTGTTCTGTGGTTTTCTCTGTAGGTTTTACGCTCAAAGACCTGGAATCTGTTCCCTTTGGTGTCGCTCTTCCCGTCAGAGATGCCATATACCAGTGTCGCGAACAGCCGTCCTCGGAGTGGTCAGAAGACGTGTGCTTGCTGATTGGCCGGCAGGACCTGACCAAACAGGCACACGAGTTCACGCTGGCCAAAGGGAAATCGGTACGTTTGTGCCCTGGGCTTAGTAGTCAAGTGCAATGTGTGATCAGTGTGTGATGAATTACAGTAGGTGGCAGTAAATGAATAATCTTCGGGTGTGTTGACTGCAAGGATTGTTAAAAAGGCAGATGTTTGGAACCCACACATCTTTGTCATCGCCTCTGTTTGAAACTAATTTTAGGCCCTGAGCCAGGATAGCGATTCTTTTCCTTCGGCCTCGTGCAGCGCTGGGTTGTGACATCACTCCTATTAACTCTGCGCTTTCGAGACAACCTTAAAATGCCTGAATTGCTTGAAGTCATTATTGCATGCGCCCATGCCAACAGAGAAGGCGTTTCTGCTTTGGGCTAGAATACTTAATCTTCCATTTGAGAAAAACTGAATGATGCATTGTCTAAAAAATCCAGCAATTAAAACCCTTTTGGTGCTATATAGATCTAAACATGTTGCCTTCACCTTCATCTTTGGCGATTCTCCTTGTGTCTTGAGATTTTTTTCTTTTGCTTGTGTTTACCTCTGTGCGTTTCCAAGGGGCTGTTTTCTTGGAAAGAGATGCCCTCCTCCTTTAAAAGTCATGATTTCCCAGCGTCCGTGTTTTGACTTTCAGACGGTTGGCCAGGGAATAACGCTCGACATGCCGTCTGCCAGTGAGGCAGAAGAGGAGGATGATGGGATGAATGACATGAACCACGAGGTGATGTCTCTGATCTGGAGCCAAGACCTGCGGGTGCAGGAAGTGAGGCGGCTGCTGCAGAGCTCCCGCCCCGTGAGGGTCAATGTGGTCCACCTGCCCGAAGTCAGCGACCACGAGTACATCGAAGAGAAGGAGAACAAGTGAGTGTGTCCCGGACCTCCGGCTCGGGGCGCTCAGTCCTGGGTGAAAACTGGAATCCAGGCACAATTATTCAGAATCTAGGCTAGCAGTGAGATGCAGATTCGAATAGCATGAACTTGAGATTCTATGGTGGTCTTGCAAGTGCAGACTGAAGTGGACCGTCAGCACATTAATGCCTTGATCTGGGATGCTTCCGATGGTTCACCATGGTTTTTGTCTGGAGTGGGGGTACTTAGGGATTAGTAATTAAGGTAATTAGGTGCCAGTTTTCTTTTTTCCCCATTTTTATCATTCCATCCACCTCTGCAGCAGCTGGAGCCTAAGCTAGCAAACGGCCGGAGATGGGACAACACTCAGTAGGGGTTGACAGACACTGACACATGCAGGGGAGCTTTAGAGTCGCCAGTTAACCTGAACAGTTATTCTTATTATCAAAGTAGCTCACCTTTCTAATTGAGAAGTCAGTCTACAGTACACTGGTAGCAAAGCTGGCAAAATGCACTCCTGAACAGCAGTTTAAATAACTTCTCTCTGAAGTCATTAAAGTCTGGAGTCCAGTGTGTGTGGTGGGATGCCAGTGAGATTCTATGGTTGTGTATTCGTTACATTTAAGTGATAGAACTCTAGCGCTCCTATAGCTGTATCTAACCAGATTACCTAGACTGCAGAATGAGTACTTTAGAACTGTAGGTTATCTGCTGTCTGCATTAGCTTTTCATAGCAGGTTTTGCAGTATCTGCTCGCAAGTTGTCTAAATTAACTCACATCTGCTCACACACTTTATGTAGCTTTTGCACTCTGTAAATTGTTGTGGTTCAGCAATGGTTCTGTGTTGAAGTCATGAATGCTACATGGAAGTCTTTGGATACGTGTGTCAGCTAAATAACAATGATATGTATTCTAAGGGAAACCTATTTATGAAAAATGTGAGCATGAATGGGTTAAATGGCTGTGTTACAAAGCTTGAGGTTTTCCAGCTCTGTGCTGTGATTGCTTATCTCTCTCTTTTCTAGGTTGCTGCAGCTGTGTCAGCGCACCATGGCCCTGCCTGTAGGGAGGGGGCTGTTTACGCTGTTTTCCCATCACCCTGTGCTAACAGAGCCCCTCCCAATCCCCAAACTCAATCTGACCGGTATGTGATTTTGTATTTTGAAGAACACCCATCTTTATTTGTTGTCTGTGTTGCAGCTGTGACTTCTGAGGCAAGTGTTTTCACTAAATGAATAGACACAGGGTGGCTTGAGTAGGAGTGCAGAGAGTGCCACTCAAATAACTATTAGATCTGTGTAAAATCAGAAGAATGTGAATGTTGTGATTTCAATCTGCAGTCTGTTGTATTTGAAATGCATGTTCTTGCAAAAGAAAGACCAAAGCTCTTGGTCTCCTCAGAGACCAGTCACATTCTCCAACACACACACCGGATTCGGCAAGCCCTCCCAGCTGCCTCACTCATTATCCCTGATTAGCAATTTAAGCCTCTGCTCTCCGCTGATTGGAGATCGTCTTGTTTACTGGTGGTCTTGATCGGTCCTGCTCCAGTTTGCAGTCTCGGCCTGTTTACAAGTGGTCTTGGTCGGTCCTGCTCCAGTTTCCAGTCTCGGCCTGTTTACAGGTGGCCTTGGTCGGTCCTGCTCCAGTTTCCAGTCTCGGCCTGTTTACCGGTGGTCTTGGTCGGTCCTGCTCCAGTTCTCAGTCTCGGCCTGTTTACAGGTGGTCTTGGTCGGTCCTGCTCCAGTTTGCAGTCTCGGCCTGTTTACCGGTGGCCTTGGTCGGTCCTGCTCCAGTTCCCAGTCTCCTATCAGCCTGGCTCCAGCTGCCTCTGTCTGCTTTTTCACCAGCCCTTGCCTAGGAGGCTTTGGGTGTTTCAGCCATATCTCACCTCTTCAGCTATAACAACCTCTCTTATAGTCAGTGTACAGCCTCTACAATAAATAAGCCTGAACCATGCAGATGTGAACCAAATGTTTTCTTTGCTGTGTACCTTACCTTCTTTGTTCCTCAAAACTCTCCTGGTTGTTTCCCTGTTTGGCATGTCCAAACAATGAATAAATACATCCAGACTTAGTGTTCTTAAACATTTGCTCACTACTCTGCAGAAGCATAGTATGTAGTCAGATTGCATCTCTTTGTACTGGAGAAAGTTTTTGAACTGGATCACAGCAAAGCAAACTTGAGTCTTTCACAAGTGTACGATGTGGTTGCTTCGTTTAATTCGATTGTTGCCTGTTTCTCGTCTTAATATTCAGACATCCGGTTTGCGTTGTGCTGTAATCATCTCATTTGGGTTTTTTTTCCCCCAGTATGTAGCTGTTGTTGAGGTCATTCCAGATGCTCTGGCCAGACCTGACCGATCTTTATAGAGAATGTAGCTAGAAGCACAGGATTATCAAATGGGAGAAGGGAGGAGAAAGCATCTGGTTCAATGTGTAAACAGGATACCAGTGCCAGAATTCATCACTTAACATTTCTGTAAATAACTGCTCAACAGATGTTGTGTTGTCGAGCTGTTCAAGTACTTCAAAGGCTATGATCCTTTGGTTGCAGTTCCATGTTCATTGCTTTGCTGTGTACAGTACCTGACTGGTCCCTGCAGTTTGACTGTGACAAACTGGGCTTGTTAAATTTACAAAACATCAACCGTGAGATCAATATTCGGTATCAGGTCCTGTCACCAATTTGCTATGCAAGCCGGGTATAAAGATTAATAATAATTTCATCCCCAATAATCAGGACATACTGAGCGCAACACAGCATGTGTGTTCTTGGTTTCTCAGATACAGCCTGGTAATAATGACCAAACAGAAGCCGTAAACAAGAAAAGCTATTATTTTAATAAATTACTATAATACAAAACAGTTTCATTACTGTTATTTAGAGATATTACAATTCTGTGAGTATCGGAGGCCTGCCTTCTACAGATATAGATCTCTACCTGGCAACAGAGAGACTCTTAAGAATGAAAGAGTGAAGAAAAGAGTGTGTTATCCAATTAAAAGATCCTGTGCAAGGCGAATCATTCTCTTTAGCAGATGTTGAGTGAACAGGAACTTTTTCCCCATTGCTCTCAAGGTGCCAAATAAAGACCTTTTGATAGGAAATTCAACATGTGACTACTCCTCACACACAACAGTAGACAAGACTGCTTAGTCCTGCATTATACCAGCTGTGAGGTTGTAATGCTCCTTAAGGGTGCAGAATGGTACTGATTTGGTCAGGATGCTTATCCCTGTATCTAGATGCAAGAACAAGACCTGCAGATAACATTGTTGATATTAACTAAGAGCCCAGAGTCCAAAGGAGTTTGTGAAACACTACTGTGGTTGTTTTGCAGGTCGAGGCCCGCCCAGGAACACCACCGTAGATCTCAACAGCGGCAACATTGACGTCCCTCCCAACATGACCAGCTGGTCCAGCTTCCACAACGGCGTGGCAGCTGGCCTGAAGATCGCCCCGGCCTCCCAGGTGGACTCTGCCTGGATAGCCTACAACAAGCCCAAGAACTCGGAGCTGGCCAATGAATACGCCGGCTTCCTCATGGCTCTGGGCCTCAACGGGCACCTGACCAAGCTGGCCACCCTCAACATCCATGACTACCTCAGCAAGGTCAGAGAGCCTCCCGGTGCCACGCCTGGCCAAAATCACCTTTCGGGTAGAGTTCAGCGAGCTGGACAGTGTTCCTCCACTCTGCCCAGGAGCCAAGAACACAAGAAGGTTTACTTAAGAAATGAGTTAATCCAGCCCAGCTAGAATACTGGCTTCAAACGTGAGACAGAATCACTTGCTCCAGGTGATGATTAATTAATTTATTTAATTGGAGGCATTATTTTTGTCATCCTCAAAGCTATTAGATATTTGTATTTTACCCGTTGCTAAACTTAGATCTCTGCTTCTGAGAATGCAGATGCATGGAGCTCAGGGAAGGCAGGGTAATACAATAGAGGCCCCTAAAAAATCTTTTGATCATTTTGATTGAAAAAGCTCATTCACTAAGTGAAGTGCATCTAAACCCACATACTGGTATCAGAACTCACGACTTTCTCAGGCACTTTTTTCAGTAAATACACACCAAAGTGGAACACCTGGTTTTGCATAATATTGTCCTCTGCATTGCTCTCATCCTGTTTTTTTCTCACATGAAAGTAAAGAGGGAAATGTAAAAGCGAAGCTGTGTTTCAGTTTGACATTTTCCTTGAGTCTGACGCAAATTAACTCTTTCGTTTCCAGTTAAAACTGCCTGTAATAAGACTGTGGTTGCACTTGTTATCTAACACATCTGAATTTTAAAAGATATGGCGGTAAATGATTAATACCTTGTGCTTTCTCCCTTTTGAGCCCTTCAAAGTGCAGGATTTTCTCAAACGGGTACTTGTTTTTCTTAGAGTGTACAGGCAGGTGCTGAGACGAGGCTCTGCTTAATGCCACAAGAATTGGAGTTGATCTTTTTATGCGGCTCTGTGAAAAAAATGTTATTGTCCAGAAATCAAAGCAGTTTCACAGCAGCTTCATTCCGAAAGGTCACAGTGCCAAAAAAGAAATTCAAATAGGATTGTTTACACACAAAATTTACTGTACATATCTGTGTCCTACTTTTATATGTGTACCTAGCTTATTTTCAGTTGAGACCTCAGGTCATTGTTAAGGTTTTAAAGTTTCTTTAATGATGTTAGTTTGCTTGTTTATAAAGATACTCAATATGCCCATTGTGATCACTTGTCTTCTAGCTGGTGTTCATGCTACAGCTGGGAAAGTGAATGCTCATTACTAGGTTCTATAGCGTTTCCAAAATGTCTTATTAATGTTCATTAATATGGCAGTTTGTTTCTGCTTGGGGAAATGAACAATTTCAATATTTACCTTTTTGACCATAAATTCAGCTCCACCAAAAGTATTCACTCTGCCGAAAATAACATTTCAGCCTGTAATGAATCTCGTGGAGCTGCTCCTTATCCTACATGTGGCTGAGCTGGTGCTAACATGAAAAAGGTTTAGGCTATTTAAAAAATATTAAGAGGAGTAATTGCATTGGGCTGAATCCTCAATCCAGATTGAGAAGGGCAGGG